ACAGATGGATTTACAAGTAAATGTATCAAAAGTTTAAAGAGTAATTAATATTCATGCTATAAAAATATTCTTAAAAATAAAGAAATGTAGAAGGCAGCTTAGCTCAAGTAGTTCCATTTTGAAAATGGTCCTCTGTTAGTTTTGAAATGAAAGAGCATGGACTCTCTATCTCTTTTCTTTATAATCACAGATTACTCCACTTTTTTGTAGTAACAATAACATGTTCTGTTGTTCTGTGCCCAGGAAGGTCTTATCCAATTATAGGAGCCTGCTTAATCTAAGTGACCTATAAATGACCTGTAAGTGTCCTAGCAGCCATCTTGCTTCAATAAATACAAGATGGCCCAATTTTCTTTTCATGAAAGTCTGGACATAACAGGCATCCTGTTTGCTCATATGCTGTGTTTTTGTTTTACTATCTAATGTGTAAATAGATGCTTTGGTGTCTGAAATGGTTGAAGAAGAATTCTAAAGAAGATATTCCCCCAAAATGGCCAGTTTTGTACAATAAAGCCTCAAGTAATTTGACCTGCCAACTAGAGAAGTATTCTTTATTCCATTATAGAAGTCACTCAAACAAATTATTTTTATGATACAAATATGATCTTAATTCCTAAAACAGGGAGGGACAAAGCAGAGAGAGAGAACTACAGACCAGTTTTTCTCATGAATATCGATACAACATTTTTAAATAAAATACTATTAAAGGATTTTTAATAACCATAAAATAATTCACTGTAGCCAAGTTTGATTCATACCATTGATATAAACATTATGAAAACATTTAGCATAATGAATCATACAAACAACAAAACATATCATTATATCAAAAACGTTATATCTAGAAAAAAGCAAAAAAGCATTTGATAAAATACAACACTCATTTATGGTAAAAAAAAACTTTAAAAAAGCATAGGTCCCTCTTTAATACAATCACAGGCATATAGCTAACATGAAAAGTTAATATTATTTGCAATAGAGAAACACTGGAAACTTTAAATTCTAATGGGTAAGGTAAGGAACTCCCATACCCCAACTACAATTTGATATGGTTCTTGGAAATGTAAGTTACAGCAATAAGATAAGAGTGAGAAATTAAAAGTATAAACATCATCAAAGAAAACATAATTATTATTGCATGCAGAAAACATGATGTACATAAGATCATGTAAACTCCTCGGGACCACAATGGAGACATCAGACTCCAGATAAAATAGTGCAATGTCTTCTGGACAATAGGTACTAGATTACAAAGGTCTGGTACCTCAGCCCTGAGTAAGCTCCAGGATTAGAAAAAGGATGTCTGCCCTGAGCTCCAACATAGTCTACAATTTGACTTGGTTCTCCTCATTTTCTAATTCCAATGAAAAATTTCTTATTGCATTATTTATCCCTCAACTCATGCAGCATGCACTGTGCCTGAAGTTATGTCCAGTAATTATTCATCTAAGAGAATCCAGTTATCCAAATTAAAAGAATTTCACATCTACAAAAACATACTTCACCAGCAGAATGCATTTCTACCCAATAGCCCACTCTAAGCACCTTAAGAATCAGGCATGGAGATAAGAAATGATGAGCTCAGTGATCTTAGAAAAACATGGAAAGACTTGCATGAAATAAGGAAGAGTGAAATAAGCAGAACTAAAAGAACATTGTGTATAGTAACAGCAATATTGTTTAATGAACAACTTTGAGCAAATAAGTCATTTTGACTATCATAAATGGCCAAATTAACTGCAAAGGACATGTGAAGGAAGATGCCGTCTGCATCCAGAGAAAGGACTGATAAATAAAAGTGTGTATCGAATGATTTTACATATATACATATTGTGTGTGTATATAGATATACAAATTTTGTCTAATGGTAGCCATCTCTAGGGTGGGGGAGGGGGAAAAGAAATTTACATGATAACTTTATTATATATTTAAAAGAAATAGCAAATTGTACATAATAGATTTGTAGTTCCACATGCAATCTTTTTTGTTGTTGTTGTATTATGTTATGGAAATGCTTGTTTTATTCCATAAATTAAAAATAAAATAAATAAAACATTAAAAAAGAAGAATCAGGCATGGAGCAGTCCACTGATCAACACAAGTAGTTATCTACTTTTTTCTGATCCTGAGAGAATAGGCAGCCTTCTCTCTTCTCACTCTACTCCTGTTTATCAATGGTAGCTGCTTGTCTCATTAGTCTAAAATACGGTCACTATCAATTTACCCAGCCAGAACAGCTCTCAAGCCCCCATTCCAGGAGTGTGTAGGAGACAGCTTAAATGCCCTTTGAGAATCAATTGTTAGCAGGGCAGCTAGGTGGATAGAGCTCCGGCCTTGGAGTCAGGAGGACCTGAGTTCAAATCTGGATTCAGACACTTGACACTTACTAACTGTGTGACTTTGGGAAAGTCACTTAACCCTGATTGCCTCATTGAGAGAGAGAGAAAGAGAGAGAGAGAGAGAGAGAGAGAGAGAGAGAGAGAGAGAGAGAGAGAGAGAATCAGTTGTGAAGTTTTGGGCATGAACATTTATCCATCAGAAATCAAGAAGCACAAATCAAGGCTTGATTCTGTTGTTGTTGTTAATTGTACAGAATTAAGAAAGTGCGGGTTAAGCTTACAAGTGTATTGCATACTTCTATAATTCTGGAATAACTCTGCTTCTTACTGTAGCAACACATTTATCAGATCATCCTTCTCTCGATGGAGTCAATGTTTTCAGACCTGCCGGAAGTAAACATTTCTTTGGGTGGATATTTGATAGACTGATGGAGACAGCCAGATCTTAAAGGCTCACCTGGACTTTTCAGACATCCATTTTGATACAGCCTTTAAATGAACAAGTGAGTTTCATCAGCACTCCAGTCTTTGGTTTGTCTTGCCCATCACAAATTTTTTTTTCTTGGAATGGTTAAAATCTGTTATGTTTTTACAAGTCTCTCTTTCTTCTAACTTTATAAAGTGCTATAGAGGAATCAATAGCCATCCCTTTCAGCTTCCAAGTCCCTCTGAAAGTCTTTCTCTTCTAAAGAGTCAATAGGGCAGTTTTTCTAATAGTTTTGTCATTTCACAGTGATTTTCATTTTCAGGCATACTTTTCTGTGCCTGAATGAAACTGACCCTGTTTCATTGCAGGCTTAAATGATCCTCTCTCTTTAAATGCCTGACTTAGCCACAACAACAGCCAGTATGATAACTCTACTAGTCATTAAAGTGTGCTCTTTTAGACTTAATAGCTTTTGAATGTTTTCTTAAGGTATTGTAGATTCTTTAAAACCACAGAATTGCCCAGTGTTTTGGCACTGACCTGTAATCGCTGGTACTAGGGAGGCTGAGACAGGTGGATCCCTTAAACTCAGGAGCTCTGAGCTACGATTGGACCAAAGCCAATCAGATGCCAGTGCTGAGTTCGATGCAAATATGATGTAGTGGAAGGTTACCAGGCTGCCTAAGTAGAGGAGAAGTGGCCTAGGTTGGAAGTAGAGCACGTCCAAGCTTCCGTGGCAATCAGCAGAGAGCAAGTCTGTGAGTGGCTGCTACAGATCCATCCTGAGTATGATAGGGAGACTCAGTCTCAACAATAACATTAAAAATGCAACAAAATAGAAAAATGAAACTTGTATATGGCACACAATCCATTACTTAACTGACAGAGAAACTAATAAAAGGTAGAGTTGCCGGCTCAGTCTGGTTTCATTGGTCAAGGACAGTCCTTTTGAGTCAGACTAGACTCAGAAGCCCACTTGCATGACCATTGCTGATGCAAAATGAAAGCTCATCAACATGATTGCTAGTCCCAAGTAATTTTACACATCTGTAGGTGCTGGGGACACAGAGAAATATAAAATAGCTCCTACCTTTGAGGAGCTTACATTCTATCAAGAAAGACAATTTGTATATATGCAAGTAAGTATTGGGGGGAGGGGGACTGGAGCTTGGATTTCATCAGTAAAAAGAGGTCTAGATAAGCAATTCCCTCTACCTATGTAGCTTCCCTTCTACTCTGAAGCTTCTATTTTAAGAGAAGAGGGAGAGGGGTACTAAGGGCTTGACGGTCAATCAAACAATAGACGTTTACTCAGTACTTACTACTGAGAAACTACTGCATTAATGGCTGGGGATACAAAGGAAAAACAAAAACAGCCCCTTGTCCCTGGGAAGCTTACTTTGTAGTGGAGCAGACAATGTATCTATAAAAAGATATATACAAGGTACATAGAGAATAGATGGAAGGTAATTGAGTTTAGTCACTTGTCCAGGGTTACATAGCCAGTAGGTGTCAAATATAGGACTTAATTCATGTCTTTCTGATTGTAGGATTAGGACAAAATAAGCACAAAGTAATATGTGAATTGAAGAACCACTAGCAGCCAAGGGGGATCACAAAAGCCTTTATGTAAGTGTCAGCTCCACATCTGGAGTGTTGGCTTTTTCTATGACATCTGTGATTTTTTCCCTCTTTCTCTAAAATCTTACAATTTTTATTACCAGTCAGAGAAAGCAATGTTGGAGCAAAGGGTGAGCCACATCCCTGACTTTGGACTTCAATGTCTGTTTTGCTTTTTAAATATGAAAAAAAGTACTCAAGATTAGCTGACCAAAGAAAAATCACACCACTGTTGTTGTTGATGTTGTCAACTATAAGAAAAAAAAACCACTTGTAATATTCTCCTTTGGCCCTGGAAATTTAACTTAGCAATGAAAGTGTCTGATTTGACCTTAGGCTCTTTGATTGCCTGCTTAGGATCACAGACAAAGAAGAAATGGTAGCTCCCCGAGCAGAGAGAGCCAATGCATTTGAGTATGGGTTACCCAGAACTTGAGAAGGCTTTTTTTTTCTATTTATTGTAATAGCTTAAATTTTTGTGCCTCGTGTAGACTTTAAATGGCATAAATATGTATCTCCATCTGCACATTCTTGTCAGGAATAGTTCTGCTTTGAGGTGTTATGGCACCAAAGAACTTCTAGAATAGACTCTGTTAATCCTTTTTCTACTGCAGAAACTCAGAGAAAAATTCAACTGTGGCCACCTGTGCAGCTGGGGTGGTTGCAGATTTCCATGCAGCCACACTGCTAATGGAGTATTGGGAAGAAACAGAAAGTCAGCGAATGCTGCAATTGGAAAATGACTCCCCAGGCTAGAAAAGGGCTGAAACTAACAAGATGAAATTAAATAGAAACTCACTCTTAGTTTGGGAAAAAATCATCCCTATCAAATTAAGCCAAGTCAACAAACATTTATTAAGCATCTACTATGTACTAGGCATTTTGCAAAGCTCTGGGGATGCAAAGAAAGATAGAAACATTTCCTGCTTTCAGGGAGGTCACAGTCTAGCTGGGGAGATAACATAGAAACAACTATGTAGAAACAAAATATAGGCAGGATAAAGCAGATCATCTCAGAAGGAAAGCATCAGTATTAAGGAGAACCAGAAAAGGGTTTGAGTTGTTCATTTTTTTTGGGGGGGGTCAAAATTGAGATTTTTAGATGAGATTTAAAGGAAGCCCAAGAAAGTCAGGAGGCAGAGGTGAGAGGTGAGGAGGGGAAAGAGAATTTTAGGCATTGAAGGACAGTCATTGAAAATTCTTGCAGTGGAGACATGGGATGTCTCTTGAAAGGAATACCAAGATTTCAAGTTCAGGATGGGAGACATTTGTCTTAATAGCTACTGCTGCTGAAAAAAGACTTGTGACATCTAGGTAGCACAGTGAATAGAGAAGTGGGCCTAAAGTGATGACCAGAGATCAAATCCAACCTCAAACACTTCTTAGCTATGTGATCCTTGGAAAGTCATGTCACCTTGTTTGCCTGTTTCCTCAACTGTAAAATGGGGATAAAAATATCTCCCTGGATTTTTGTGAGATTCAGATGAGATATTTGGAAAGTGCTTAGCACAATGCCTGGAACACAGTAGGTGCTTAATAACGATTATTCCCTTCCCCCACACACACAGATACACTTTAAATGCCAACATTATGATGGAGTAGCTCGAAACACTCATATAATCTTTATTTTGACCGATCTGAGATCTCATAATGTGGCTACATCCCCCAGAGCAGAGAGTATCCAAACTCTTTCCCTGTCTTCCTATAAATTGTCCATAGGAATGGCACCCAGTGCACCAAGGACTTTCCTTTTGACCTCCTGAAAATTGAAGAGATGCTAATGGAGCATACAGTGTGTCACTCAGCCATCTCTCACTCTCAGTCCCAATTTCTTTTCCAATCATATGCTTTATTGATAACATCCGATCTACTACTTTCCCTATATGATTCTTGGTTAATAGACTAATACACAGGAAAAAGGAGGTGATAGATCCCCTTCACCCTAGTCAGAACACATCTGCGTATTGTGTATGCTTCTGGGTACACTATATTTTAAATTAATTGTTATTGATGTCTCTTGTTTTTACATCATCCATGTCTCCCATCTTTTCCTCCTGTTCCCTCCAGGAGAGCCATCCTTTACACTAAATTATGGGAGGAAAAAAGAAAGTTGCAAAAACTAAACAAAATACCAAAAAAAGTCTGGCGTTATACACAAACCCATGGTTGGTGCCCATGATCCCCCACTTCTGTAAAGGAGTACGAAAAGTACGTTTTTATATCTCATTCCTTGGGGTCACGTTTGGTTATGATAATTTCTCAGAATTCAACTTTGATTTTTTTTTGGTTGTGTTCTTTCACTTCATAAAGTTGTCATCACAGGCTAATGTAGAGGCTAGAGTGCTTGGAACATGGTAGGCGCTTAAGAAATGTTAGTTGACTGACAATCAACTGAAGTCCCTCAGTCTTCTTCATATGGAGAACTACCATACCAGATGTGCCCCAGAAGGTACTGAGAGGGCTGCTTTTGCTCAGCCTCACAGGAAGAATTTACATTATTATTTTCTTGGTTCTGTTTGCTTCACTTTGCAGCAGGCTGTATGATACTGTGCTTCTTGGTATTGGGCACTATATATATATATATATATATGTGTGTGTGTGTGTGTGTGTGTGTGTATGTGTGTGTGTATGTGTGTGTATTTCCATATATATTTCCATATATATATATATATATATATATATACACACACACACACACATATATATGCATATATACATATATATACACACACACACATACACACACACACACACACACACACACATATATATTTTAGTGAGGCAATTGGGGTTAAGTGACTTGCCTAGGCTCACACAGCTATGGGGACTATATTTTAAGAGGAATGTGAATAAACTACAGAGGTTTTCAATGAGAGTGACCAGGATCCTTTTAAATCCACTCAATTTACCAAATATTTATTAAGTACATGAAATGATGCCAGGTGTTGTCACTTTCCCAGGTACAAGGAAATTGTAGAAACCATGTTCTATGGGAATGTTTAACCCTGAAAGGACTTATTGGAGTGTCTCTTCAAAGTCTGAAGCTTGGTCAGGTGGATAAGGGATGAGAGTTAGTCTATTAGGCTTCCTAGGGCAGAAGCAGGACCAACAGGCAGAAGATACATGGAAGCGTTTTGAGCTTCCTAACAATTAGAGCACTGGACTTGGATCTATGAAGATTTAAGTTCAAATCATGCCCCAAATACCTTTTAGCTTGTGTGAAGTTAGGAAAGTTATTTAATTTATGTGTACCTCAATTTACTTGCCTTTAAAATGAGGAAAAACAAAGTCACCTACCTCTTAGGGTTTTTATAAAGATCAAATGAGATAACATATTTCGTATTCCTCATCTACCCGATCCTAACCCCACATTTGCTAAAGTGGGGTAAGGATGAGGGACTACAATATTAAATAGGGACCCCAAAAGTAGTGAGGATAGTGCTGAAATTACCTCCAAGTTTTATTTTACTAACTTTCCCCTGGGAAAAGTTTCCCAAGCAGTGATAGATAAAGGAAAGGTCATTCAAAAGTCCTTCTTCTCAATGTAGCTTTAAAAAATATCTTTTATGATGAATATGTGCTTCCATATTTTGTGCTCACCAATTAGTCAATGCAGAACATTTAAATAAATAAGCAAACATTCCAAACCCCTTTTTTCTTTCCTTTTTAAACCTCTAGCTATTATCTTACTTTTCCTCTCCAAGACAATCCCTTGTGAAAAACTTCCCAGCAAGAAAATCCACAATTAATTATTCTGACTTGCTATCAGTTGGCAATAATGCAATTTAAGTTTATTGAAATTGACAGACCCCTTGCAAAATGTTGTGTCAATGAACTCTTGGATGCTATACTGTATGTATGATTCTATGTCATACTCTCATACTCTTCATAACTCTAGTTAAGAACTATTTGCAATAGAATAGGAATATTTTCTTTCTGTGAATCAATATGTGTTTACGTGCACATATGTGGGGGTGTGTATACATATATACATCACTACGTATGTAGAATGGAGCATGCAGTAGTGGACAAAGAGACAGCTTTGGAATAGAACATACTTGGGCCTTGGAATGTGGCTAAGTTGTGATTCCTGCCACAACACAGCCTGGGTGAGCCTCAGTGACTTACTCAACCATTTGGTGCTCCCTAAGCAAGTCTCTAAAACGGAAGGTTACAGAATGTTTGCTGACCTGTGTTGATAGAAAGAGTTTCCTCATCATTAATACCCTACATGAAATCACAGGATTGGTCAAAAAATAGAACGGAAAACTCAGAAATTTTAGAGTTAGAAAGCGTATCAATGGTCAACTAGTTAAGATCCAACACAAAAGGAATCCCTTCTAAAACAAGGCCCATTGGTCACTCAACCATTATTTGAAGATCTCCAGTGAAAGGGAAGCTATTGCCTCCCAAGACAGCTCATTCCACTTCAACTAACATTTCTTAAGCACCTACCATGTTCCTAGCACTCTAGCCTCTATATTAGCCTGTGATGACAACTTTACAAAGTGAAAGAACACAACCAAAAAAAAATCAAAGTTGAATTCTGAGAAATTATCATAACCAAACGTGACCCCAAGGAATGAGATATAAAAACGTACTTTTCATACTCCTTTACAGAAGTGGGGGATCGAGGGCACCAACCATGGGTTTGTGTATAACGCCAGACTTTTTTTTGGTATTTTGTTTAGTTTTTGCAACTTTCCTTTTTCCTCCCATAAGGATATTTTTCCTGATATCAAACCTCAGTTTACCTCTTTGCAACTTCTTTCTATCATTCCTAGTTCTGATCTCTGGGCTAGGTTCAGCAGTTCTAATCTCTCTTTTACAAGGCAACCTTTCTAATACTTAAAGAGAGCTAACATCATCCCCAAGACTCCTCTTTCTCAGGTTGAACATCCCCAGTTTCTTTAGTTGACCCTTATAAAGCTGACCCTTTATCTTCTTGGTTATCCTCTACTAGACATTCTCCATCTTCTCAATAGCCTCCATCTTATTAATATCATGGTGCCCAGAACAGAACACAAGATTTCAAACCAGATCAGAGTAATGAACCTCATCACTTCCATTTTCTAAGATCACATTAGCTTTTTTGGCTGACACATCGCATGGATGACTCATATTGAGCTTTCAGACCTCTAAATACGCCTCTCCCATCTCGTGAAGGATTTATTTTTTAGCCCACATGTAAGATTTTTGCACTTATCCCTACTTATTTTCATCAGATTAGATTCTTCCCAGTGTGCTGTCAGGCCCTTTGGTGCTTTCTGATTCTGTCATAAAGTGCATTAGCTACCCCTCCCGGTTCTGTTTCACATTACATTTCATAGACAATACATCTATGATCTTATCCAAGTCATTGCTGGATTAAACATCACAGCACCAAGTACAGATCCCTGGGGCACTCCACTGAAGACTTTCTCCCATCTTGACATTTTTGAATTCCAGTGCTTTGCCCAGAGACTGACATATAATAGATGCTTTTTAAACGCTTGTTGACTTGACTTAACTTGAATCATTTTCAACAACTTTTTAAGTGCAGGCAATCTATTCTGAATCCAATCAATTGTTTTATCAACTAGTTTACATCTCTCCATCTTTACTCCAAGAATAGTATCAGATACTTCATCAAACTGCTCAATCTAGATAATCAATATTGATAGAATTTCCTTGACTTGCTAGCTTAGTAACACATCTGCAAAGGAAATATA